ATGCTCCGGTGGGAGATCAATCAACAAGGAAAACGATATTTATACTCTTGGTGAGATCATTTGTACAAAGGCAGCTGATATTGATACTCTTTTGAGAGAACAAAATTTTGATTGGGGGGAGAAGAGTTGGTGTTAGAAAAGAGAACACCACATGGTAAAGGTAAATAGAGACCAAAGATAAAGATTTTTAGGAGAAACTTTAAGTTGTTGATGCATCTAAGGGATAAAAGTTTCCTTTCAATTAATGAAAGGGAAATGCAGTAATGTGAAAATTATACATATATAGTTATATATTATGAATTAGTATATTCGTTATATATGTTTTATAATGATTATATATATATATACATAATATTGGGTGGTAATGTTTAACTGCCTAACATCATTAGAATGTAGAAACTTCTATCATATTTGTATATCCGCTTTATATTATAATTCTATTTTTATATCTATGATTGATCATAAATAAATAAATAGTTATGAATTATCCTTGATATGTATAATTATCCCATTTATTATAGTATGCACATCAGCTAATAGGTTGGGAATAGCTACAGGTTGCTTATTTGTATTAAGGGCAATATAAAGAGAATCAAGGGTTCGAGGGTGGCTAAGAATGAGATGGTAGCCCAGATTGAGGATACATAATTTTCTGGTTCTGATGAGATGGCAGCAGCCCCCATTTCGTGACTTTTATTAGTTTATTAGATAATGGACAGTTATATTTGGTATATGCAGTTCCGACTGGTAAGCTAATACAAAATGTGTTATTGGTATATCAAATTAACTATTTATTTGTGGGGTTTCAATATAATTATTATTTTAATTAGAACTTCCAGAATTACAAATTGCATATATATATTTATTATTTTCTTGATACTTTAAAAATATCTATTAAAATTAACAGTTGGTGGTAAATATTTTTTTAAAAATATTAATTTTTATATTAAATGATGTTATGAGGGGGCAATACTGACAGAAATCATATTTTTCAGAGTTTAGATTTTGCACTGAAAAGTTAAATTTTTTTAGTTAGATCGTGATATATTTTCTGATGTTGACAGTGACCTATTAATTGTTGAATTCTCTAATAAAATAAAAATATTTAAATCCCTGCATAAGGGGTGGTATAATCTCATAAGAATGAAGTTTTATCAAATTTTGAGTCAAAACTATTATCATTATTATTAAAATTCATTTTTATTTGCATTTATTGCTAAATATCTGCCCATAATAACGTTTTAGAAGTCTATTTATATCTAGCTGATATTTACACTGTAACTTAAAATTCTGACAGTTACAAAGAAAGAAAGAAATATAGAAAGAAAGGGAAGAAATAATAAATATAGAAATACGGAAAGAAAGAAAGGTAAAGTCCATTTACTAATAAATATCTTTACATGGAGTTATATAATCTATTCAGAGTGTATCTTGCAAGAGTAAGTTATGTCTGGTTTAGAATTAAAACTAATACCATTATTGTTAAAATCTAATTATCTTTTTACTAATGATATCTTTTTAAAATTGTAATTGTTTTTACTACTAATCCCATTATCAAGTAAATACAATTTTGACCCTCTATTCTCAAATGAGTCTATTATATGTCATCATAATGCGAAAGCTTTATTGCAAATATGATTTCATAATGATATAATTGATCATCTATTATTTACATTGTCATAATAATTCAATTGATATCATATAAGAATTAGCTTTTTGTTAAAAGACGTTAGTTGTTAGAAATTATTTTACAAAAAATTTAATTTTTTGTGCTAATTACTATTAATAGATTGCTGATTTAAAAAAATTTATTTAAACTTTAATATAGTCTAAATGGCAGAGGGAAAACTAAATTCACAAATATTTATCCAGATAAAATAGCGTTATTGGCATATAAATGTAGCATATAAAATTTCTCACTTATCTGACATTTTTTATTTAACCGATTTGAATCTGAAAATATATTCAACATTATTCTATAGAACATTTTAAAAATGGTGAATTTTTTACCGAAATGCTAAGTCAAGTAGTTCACAATACTCATAGAACAATAAAGACACAATTTGTTATTAATAAATATATTAATAACATTTAATGTGAATTTATAAAACATTTATTACAAGCAGTGGCGTAGCTAGGAATTTTCCTTAGAGGGGGTCCATACATATAAAAGCTGGGGGGGGGCTTCACCCCCAGACCCCTTTAACGGGCCTTCGGCCGGGTTTATCTTACAAATCATAACCATATCTTCGATAATATATAATAAATATATTTTTTAAATGCATCAATAATATGTTATTATAATTTAGTAGATTATTCTCAGACTTTATAATAATACTATCCAGAATAATTTCAATAGTAATAAAATTGATATAAAATCACTTTTAAGTCTTTTGAACGTATAATCTAAAAAAAAAATTTGCTCTGGGAGGGGTCCAAACCCGAAAACCACCCCCGTAGCTATGCCACTGATTACAAGCAAAAAAAGATTATATTCTTTTTGATGTGTCTCTCCCGATTGATACATCTTTTATTTTAGGTTAATGTTAGAGTATAATATTTAATCTAAAAAATTAAATTAACAAAATTTTGCTAATTCAAAAAAAATGTAAACTATATTTTGATAAATAATTTTTATTTTCTAATTTGCTATTTTATTATTTCTCTAAAATATACTTAAGTGTTCCTACTATTTAAATATAAAATATAGTGACCAAAACCATAAAAGTGTTTACCCCACAGTTACAGCACACTCTAAATCAGGGCTGCGAACCAGCGAATCCTGAAACAGAACATAACCCTCTGAACCTCAAATATTTTACTGAACCTAAACCAAACCAGGATGCTTTTTTAAAATTTAGGGTTCAACGTTCTATATTTTTTTAAAATATTTTTTTATTTTTGTGATTGGGTTCAGTGAAATATCTTTGAACTAGGCTCGCGTTCAGGGTTCATGTTCAAGAATAAAAAGACTTATAAAATTTAGTAAAAATAAGAGAAACATTAGTTTTTATAAACCTTATTTTACTATATTTGGGCATTACCATAAAAAAAATTTATCACCATAAAGAATATAAGTAAATTATCCATTGAAATTATCATAATATCTTCCAAAATCGAGATGTTAAAATAAAATATTGATTTTTTATGCCTAACTTTGACAGTGCATTGCAAAGTGCAATTAAAAGCTATTTTGCCTTACAATTATGTTCTTTTCTTTGGTATTACCTTTAATTTAATAATTCAATAATAAACAGAAATAAATATTTCTAAAATGTATATTATTATCTATTATAAAAGAAAGGTTACAAAATATGCTAATAAAATTTTAAAATTTTTACATGGGTCAATTTTTATTAACGGCTTAAGATTTTAACCAAAATAATATAAACCTCAAGATTTGGTAAATAGATACCATCTATTGGTTAAATCTTCAGATTTGCATAATATTATTTTTGTTATAATCTTAATCAGGCCGTTTTTAAAAATCGACCCGAATCAGGCTTTTTAACAACACTACTCTAATAATTAAAAAAAGGATTCCAAGCAAAATAATTTTCACCAAAAAATGTCTTTATACTGAAAATAAAAACTGAACCAGAACCCAAATCTGAACCCCTTTTTTAGGAGGGTTCATAGCCCTCTTAATACACGACCGGATTATATTAGAATCAAAATTGTATGCCACATATTTACTACAATCATAAGTATATTAGTAAAAAAGCATGAGAAAACCCACTACTTAGGAAATTTTCAAATTTTAGCAAAACCCGTTTTAGGCTAATAAAAACAATTCCTTTCTTTTAACTATCCCTGCTCTCTTCTTACCCAAAAATAAATATGATATGTTATTATAAATTAACATTTTTAATGAAAATTATTACATTTAGAAATTAATGACTACGATTGAATTCTTTTTTAAAAAGGGAAGTGAATTATACCATCATTTAAAAAAATATAACCTGATAAAAGACCTAAGAAATAGATAATATAATTAAATTTAAGAGGGTTAAGTCATACAAAAGTTGCTCTAGGAAAATCCTAGTATCCAGTGGCCTTGCTAGTTTTTATTTTTTTCAATTAAAAAAAAGGAAAATCTATCAAAAATTTGTAGAAAAAAAAGCAAATCTATATCCTAAAATATTTTAAAATTTTTTTATAGGGATTACGAAAGTTTCTATGAACTTTTGCTTTCTTTTGCCATCTCCCCCCCCCCCCCCCTCTATTACTCTCAAATAACTTGGCTATACCTGTATCTGCAGTAAGGCATCTTTATATTTTAAGTTCATATCACATATTGTTAATATATCATGGAATGGAATAATATTTTATTATCTCTATTTAAGACAATGATGAATGATTTAAATATTAAATAATTTATAGAATAGATCAATGATATATATAACATTGGAATAGATACAATATTTATGGTTTTATATCAAAAATACGGAATACGGAATAAAGCGCATACGCCCTCTTAACGTTGTAAGTACAACAGAGCTACGCTAGGTTTTCCTCATTTTCATCTAATTGGAAGATTTAAGTTAGGTATAAAGTAAAATATGAGGAGCCCTTCACACGTTTGTGGGCAAGCCGCACGTACTTGTACGCATAATAGTTCATAAACTATTATTTAAACGTCTGTGGGCTGGAACAGATAGGGAGGTCCAAGAGAACAGCCCACACCCAAAACCTACGGCCCTATTTATTTTTAAAAAAGGGACGGGGAAGGTACTCTAGAAATATAATTTAAAACCTAAAATAAGAAATAAATATATGATTAAATTAAATTCAAAGTACAAATACAATCACTTATCAGTTTATATCCATCCTTGAAGATAATATCCATATTCATCACTCGTACCGGAAAAACCGAACCCATTCAAAATTTAAATAATCAATTCAAAAATAATAATTTGAATTTTTTCAGGTAAAAGGTACTAAAATTTAAAAAAGCGCAGAAAATTATTTCACATCAAAAATAACTTTTCCTAGTGAACGCTTAATAAAAAATCATATGTTTTGACCGACCTTTTTTTGGTTTGGCACTTTTTGTGGTTTTATCAATCAATAACATATAAATATGAAAGTTAAACAAGAAATGGTGCCCAATATTAATATGATGGACATAGCGGATGGTATTTATTTTTATAACTTAATAACTTTTTTTATTAGTCATTAAAAAGAATATGGGTGCATATTTTCAAACCTGTGATGTAAGTGTTAATAATGTTCCTGATCTAACTAAACCTCCTTTTCATCTTGCCTGTCAAGGTATGATAATTTAGAACTAATAAGGGAATTTAATTTTTTAGGTATATGTGGTTATCCTAAATTGTTGGATGTAGGAGGGCAGCATTATTTAACACCTACTCCACATTTAGATAAAACATATGATTTAAGAGTAATATCCACCCTTATTGATATGTCAGAAGCATTTTATATAGGGGCAGGTGCTGGACCTTTTCAAGAAATGGGGACTAATGGTGAAGTACAATAAATGTGAATATATGGTTAATATATCTATCCTTTAGCTCATAACCAACTTAAAATTTGGCAAAAATAATGTTATAGAAAAAAATTTATCATATACAGCAAAAAATCTTAAGGATGTAGAAGTATTAAAATTATCAAAAAACATTATAACTATTAATTAAATGATAAAAGAAAAATGATCCTCAATTCATTGTAGAGCCATTAAAAAGTTCACAATTTGGAATCTTAGGAAATTTTTTAGCTTCCAAGGGTATGCCTGGAAAGGTTTATAATAATATTTTTTATTTAATTAGTAAATTATGAATTTCTATGACTTTCAAAACATTTACATAAAAATATGAATAATTAAAACTAGATCAATTAAATATTAATTAATAATTTTATATGGTTGATTGTATCAACAATTTCTTTTTTAAATAGTGAGCTGTAGGTGAGCAACCAATGGAGGAAAAGGAGGAAATTTTCCCACCCCCATCACAAATTTGACTGTTTTCATAAATATTTTTAAGCTAATAAAAATACCCCCCACCCCACCATTTAATCAGTTTATCTTTGCTGCTATTTGCATTAATAAATTAATTCCCTATAGTTCACTACCTTGTAAAAAATTACTAAAACCAAATTTAGATTTGGTTCATTATTGATTTGGTGGAAAATGTATATGAACAGGTAAATACAATAAGAATGAATGTAGATGAATATTCTCATAATATTTATCTAGATGTTGAATCGAAAGCTTAATCTTATGAATTAATTAAACCTCGTCTAGCATCTAAACAATTATTGAGATGTAATATAAATTTTGACTCAACTGAAGAATATTATAAAATATCCATTTTCATCCCATACTTGGATACTTTTTTATTGCAAAAAAATATGGTTTTTAGATAAAAAAAACAAGTCTTTAGCAATCTTCAAATTTTATTACCTAAAAATCCTTCTTTGTTTCCTGCCACTATTGATAAATTGATACTGAAATCAATTAAATCAGTGAATTCGAATTGTGGTACAAATATTTACTACTTTTGGTTATTTTACCTGAGCATGCTATTGATGCGCTCAATCGGTATAAGGAAACCTTGGCTCAATTTCCAAATATTTTAAGTTGTTTTATAATTGCATGTTTGCCTATTACAATATGTACAAATGAAAGGACCTTTTGCAACTTTAGAAGGTTGAATTAAAAACTTATACGAAATACTACTTCCGAATCTTGGCTAAATGGGTTACCTCTCTTAAATATCCAGAGAGATTTGATTCTAACGACAAACAAAATTCTTGATGTATTGGCAAATTTCCCATGAAAATTCAAAATCACATTATAATAATAGTATTTAATAAATTTTTTATATAATATTGTATTTGAAAAGAAGTTATAAAAACTTGTTTTTTAAATTATTTTTTAGTCAATATTTTATGCACAGTACAATTAGTATTTTCAATAAAAAATTTTTAATCTACTTATATTGTATGAGAATTTAAGCTGAGGCTAGTTTTTAAACCAAATTTTATAAAAAAAAATGATACTTCAAAATTTTTTTTTATTAAATATAATATACCTAACTTAAAATAATAAAAATATTGGCTTATAACCGTTATTTCTTATTTAAATATCCATAAACGCGAATTATTCTCCCCTATTGGAAAATCCTGGATACGCCACTGATGAGGTGTTATTATTTGTTCACATTCACAATATTTTAGATTTAAATGTAAAAATAAAATTAGATATTCAAAATTTCTCTTTAAAAAACCTATGAGGACTGGATTGGAAGTTCTCATTTATATTCAATAGAATGGGATATTTTTAGAATGAATTTTTAAAAGATCATTTTTTAATAGATTTGAGGTTGTATATTTTTTGTTACTCATTTTCCTTAAATTTAAATGGTTGTAAAAAACATTGAAACTTTCATTATATCTGTTTTTGAGAGAAAATATCTCAGATTTTTTTTCACTTTGAATATGGGCTAAAATTCTAAAGGTTCAGGTTTATTTTAAAAAATTATTTTTTATTTGCCCATTGTCAGAAAAAATTACTCGTAGAAATTGAGTCCTTCTGGCCTTATTTCGAATGCAAAACTCAGACTTCTCTATACAGGGCTCTAATTTAAATAATTAAATTTTTTTAGATTTAAAAACTGAATAAGTTTGAGGCCAAAAATGTACTATTGAAAATTATTAGAGACCTGCAAATTTTTAGTAAGCCTGGCCTTAAATTTTTTGAAAAAAATCTATTTTATACCTGCCCAGGCCTGGTTTTTGGATATAGACGACCTTAGTTATAATATTTGGTCATTTTATATAATTTGGGCTTTATTTTGTAAAGAGTTTCAAATGTAAATTTTTAATAAGAGAGGTGAATAAATGTTAAATGATACATCATTTTATTTTTAATCTAGTTAATTGATATAATTTAAGTTTATTTTTAAAAAATCGGACTGGGTTTAAAATTTTTAAGCCCAGTCCAGATTTATATTATTTTATGACCAAGACCAGATACTGAGATATGGGTATTTTTACTATAGCAACATAAATATTTGAATTTATAGGATTCATAAAATTTTATTCTCGTAATCAAGCAATTAAATTTCAAATATAATCAATCTTACATTAGTTAAAATGACAATTTATTAATTTTCTTAATGATTTTTATTAGAAATCAAGTTTGAAAAAAAAATTCAATTAATGCACTTTAGATAATTAAAATTCTTAAATAAAGTTATATATAAAACAAATACTACGAAATCATTTTATTTTAGAATGGAATATTTATGAAAAAGAATATACATATATATTTTTTGTAAAATATTACTTAATTAAAAAAATTCGTAAACAATTTTATTATAATTTTTTGGAAATGGAGGACACTCCTTTATTGGAGAATGGGTAGGCCTGCGGAAAAATCAAATCGAATAATGCATTATTCTTAAACGACTGATACACTTTGTATTCCTCGAATGATAAAATTATTATTCTATTCCGCTCAATGTTCAATTAAAATTTCATGTATCAAAAACGGAATTGATAATTTTTTAATATATAGATAAAAAAAATTTTTTTTAAGGGTAAATTCTCTCTTTATTTCAATAGTTGCTGATATAATATGTTATCAAAAATTTATAGCAAATAATAAATTTTTTTATATGGTAAAATTAATAAAGGTAAAAAAATATAAAAATATAATTTGCGAAAGGGTAAGGGATAAAAGAATGGAAACTAGGAAAGAGAAGGGAGAGAGAGAGCATAGACATAGGAGATTATTCAATGGAAGAGATGAAACTTAGGTAGTTAGAGCGAATGATGGCGGTAGCAAGTCTTTGTCGTAAAAAAAGGGACTCTTTAGGCTGATCGGTTTTTTCCCGAATCCGTTTGCCTAATTCTTTAAAAAAACTTAGACCTTTGCTACCGAAGGTGGTAAGAGTAGAGCAGGCGATAGGTATGAATAAGAAAGAGGGGTCTATGGAACTATATTTGATAGTTTTACAAGTTTCTGCTAGAGCGAGGGCATCGACGTTGTGGTTGGATGGTGCATTTGGGTCAATGCAGGTGAAGTCCCAGACTAGTAGCTGGCCCCTTGACCAAGGAATCAAGGACATTCCATCAGGACGTTTTCCGTCGGATCTAAAAATGCCGGTCGGTTCAAGTCTTGATGGAATGCCTGCGGATTTGAGAGCGCGCAATATGATGTCATTGCAATTGGTGTGCCGTGGAAAATGGCCTCGGCAAAAGCGGCAATGTCTGCCCTTGCGATCGACGCTGGTTTCGCAATGTTTGCATTGGTACGGTAGAACAATTTCGCAATTGAGCCGTAATCCAATGGCAAATCTTAGCTCGTCAGCGGTCAGCAATAAGTCGAGGTTGTTGGAGGGTATAGTTTCCAGAAACTCGTAACCCGATCCTTGGTTTAATTGGTGAAAGACTGTGAGATCGTCGTCATGAAGGCTCGATTTTTCCCAGTCTCTCTGTAAACAGGAGGAGGGTCGAGGAGTGTTTGGGACAACGGAATTGTCCCAAATGGTCTGGGCTTCAGCTAATAATATTCTAATTCTAACATAGGCATAACCAGGATTTTCCTAAAAGGGGGGGGATAATTAAAAAATTTCTGGGGGTTACATCCCCAGACCCCATTTTGGGCGGGCCTTCGGCCCGCTTTTGTCCTGCCTTCGGCCGGTTTGCCTTAGTCTATATATAGTCATAAAATATTTTTACAAGAGAGGAGGTTATTTTTAATAAAAAAATTAAGCCTGGAACAAATATGAAATATATTTTTATTAGTTTATATAAAATATAATAAATCTTGTATATACATTAATATAAAAGCATGGTAAAAATTTATTTCAAATAGTATAAGAAATTTATTTATAAAAAGTAAGTAGACATATAGTTGATATTCCTCTATTATATAGAATTGGTTGCAAAATACTAGGTAAAATTCCACTTTTACAGACATATTTGACAGTTAGAGAATATATTATAGTTAATATTTTAACAAAATTTATTAATTAATGCTCTTAATAATAAATATAGCAATAATTTGCATTCAATTATTTAACGCCATCTATTTATTTTAAATAAAATGATATTAAAAAAAAATTTTCATATTATTTATCTCACAATGTCTTTAAAAGATATTTTCTGATGCCCTAATCAATATTTTTAGTTTTCTGTAAAATATATAATTCGCTCTATTGGTAAAAATTTTTTGATTGTCATATAATAATTGATAATTAGATATACTGTAAATCTACGACATATAATATTCCACTGTTTGTAGTGTGCTTTAATTTTTTTATTTAAATTATGATTTAATTTTATCAATAGTTTTATATATATATTTTACTTTTATTAAAATAAATTAATTAAAATTAATCACTTTATTAAAAATTATATTTGATATATTATATTATTTAGTAATTTTTTTGGATCTATTATTAATAATTATAATACATTTCACTTTTGTCTTAAGACCTATCTTTGGCTTATATTCCATTTCTTAAAAAACATTTTTGGTTCACTTTTTTTATATATAAATGCTTTTTTCCAAAAATGTATAAATTTTATAAAAAATATCAACTTTTACATTCTTTCTTTCATTTAGGGGTCAGGGAGTAGAAGGGGAGGACTAAGGGGGATTATTAGCTTAAAAGGGAGGGGGGAATTTCCCCTTGCCCCCCTCCCCCCTTGACTACTCCTATAATTTCTAATAAAATAATTAAATCGTTAGAATTTAAATGCAAGTATGATGCGTTTTTTCAATTTAA